AATTTTTCTTAATGGTGCGGTTTTCCTGGAGTTGCGGGTGGCTTAACCTTGGCTAATGCTACAGCTGTCACTGCTGCTGTTGCTGTGTTCACCTGGTCTGCTGTAGTGCTTACCATGGGTTTTAAGGTGAGAGTTGGGCACTTGCGGAGAGCAAGTGTTGCTGCAAGACTCACTACAAACCCTCAAGTCTAGTTCAGACCATGGAATATGGAAGCTTTCTCTCATACCGTAAAACATTACTAATTATTTACCCTCTAAATCTACCCGTTACACAAGGATCATTAATGCCGCACTAAACCTAGACATTAATAAACCAAAAATACTTGCATCTATAAGGGATAAAAGGTCAACTGTCCAGTTAATACAAAACTTGAGATATCACTTGTGTTTTATGTACACTGAGAAACGCACTGCTCTGTATAGACAAGTTGAGAGTTAATCCACCCTGTGTTTTGCCAAAACACAGAACATCAACATCCAATTTGACAATTGTTTTTAACATAGTTAAATGAAATGAGAATATTGGTGTGGGTGTAATAACTGACTTTCACAACTGTTGGGTTTTGCTAAAAATAAAAAAGGGTTTGCATTAACAAATAAAAATTAAAAATTTTTATATAAATGAACTTAAGTAAACGTGAATGTATATATACAAAATACTGAGCGACAACCTGGTAAAACACTAAGATACACCACTGTGTTAGTATACAAGACTCACTCCATATATAGTGGTAAGGGAGGGAAGGATGTAGGGAGGGATGGCGGAAAGCGATGGCAGGGCAGACACAATAAGAGAACACGTTCAAAACTGAAAGGAGGGATGGAGGAAGGGGAGGCAGGGCACAATAGAGAACATATTTAACTCTGGGAAAGGGGGATGGAGGAAGGGGAGGGCAGGGCACAATAAGAGAACACTATATCAACACTGGAAGGGAGGGTGGGAGGAAGGGGAGGGCAGGACACAATCAGGTAAAAACTATATCAACATCTGGAAGGAGGGATGGAGGAAGGGAGGGCAGGGCACAAAAGAAAAACACTATATCAACATCTGAAAAGGAGGGATGGAGGAAAGGGAGGGCAGGCACAAATAAAAACAATTACACATCTGAAGAGGGATGGGGGAAGGGGAGGGCAGGGCACAATAAGAGAACAAAATATCAACTCTATTTAACATCTTACCAGAAGATATCACAACCCCCTGCTGGGACAAGTGGAAAGTCCCCCCTTAAGAGAAAATTAACCCAAGTACTGCACCCCAAGTGCCGGACAAGCCAGGCTGTGATGGATAGTTGGCCAGTGGGGTCGCAGCAGCAAACGCCTGGTGACCCGGGAAGCACCAAACAAGCCTGACCAGGGCCGGCTGAGAGAGTAGAATAATTCTTGAAATCCCTGAAAGGTATATCAAAAGGGAATGGATACAGATGGGGCCCACCATATAAGAAGGTACGGGTAAAAGTAGTATCCGGATTGCGTACAAATACGCGGGTACAGTGGCGCTGGGTATTAGGACAGGACGGGGTACATGGTAACTGGGTATTGCGGGACAGTGACGCGGGACAGTGGAGGTGGGTATGTATAAACGTACAGTTGTCTCATAATTTGTCTTTGGGATCATTAAGCTGGAGTTCCCTCAGGGGAGGGATCCCTTCACTCGCTTAATGTTGGTAACTGACCCCTAGCAGCACACACAACAACACACTCACACACACACCACACAAACACACACACACACACACACACACAAACCACACACACTCACACACACACACCACACAAACACACACACACCACAATGAGTGAATCATAAGTGCAAAAAACTCTATGAAGATAAACTGGTTTTCTTTTAGGACAACACTGTACTGATGCGAAAGTGTTTGAGATAGAGGGAGGGAGGGGGTGAGGGGAGGGAGGAGGAAAGGGAGGGAAGGGGGTGAAGTGAAGGTGAAATTTGAAGCTCCTGGAGTCTACTGGAGGGGATTCCGGGGATCACGCCCCCGGGCCCGACCCACGACCCGGCCTTCCGGTGGATCAGTGCTATCACTAGTCTGTTACTGCTGGCCGCCGTAGTCCAACGTACGAACCACAGTTCGGGTGATCCGGGACGCTTTAAGTATCTGTCCAGTCCCCTTGAAGCAGCCAGGGGCCTATTGGTAATTCCCTTAATGTTGATAGGCTGTTTAAGAGTTTGGCACGGCACTCATGGTTTTTCTCTAGTGTACCAATGGCGCCCCTACTTTAATTGAGGCTTTTGCTCGCCTGCCCAGTCTTTTACTTTCGTAGGAGTGTTCTGTGTGCAATTCAGGCCTTCCTCCAGATTTCCTAAATGCCACTACCAGACAACATTCACTGTAAGACAGTGCACTGCCAGGACCACACAACCACAACTATCATCACCCATCAACCATCATTACCACACAACAACCATCAATTCGTCCACAACAACCATCATTCGGCCCCTCAATAACCATTCACCATCAAAACCATCATTTTACCCATCAACCACAACAACCATCATTCACCATCAACAACCATCATCACCATCAACCATCAACAAAACCCTCATTCACCATCAACAACCCATCATTCACCCATCAACAACCTCATTCGCCCATCAACCATCCACACCATCAATTCGTCCATCAACAACCACATTCGCCCATCAATAACCATTTCACCCATCAAACCACATTCACCCATCAACAACCATCATTCAACCCCTCAACCAACACATTCAACCCATCAACAACCAATTCACCACAACAGCCATCATTCACCCATCAACACATCAATTCACCCATCAACCCAACCTCATTCACCCATCAACAACCATCATTCACCCATCAACAACCATCATTCACCATCAACAAAAAATCATTCACCCATCAACAACCATCATTCACCCATCAACAACCATCATTCACCCATCAACATCATCATTCACCCATCAACAGTCATCATTCATCCATCAACAACATATTCACCCATCAACAACCATCATTCACCCATCAACAACCATCATTCGCCCATCAACAACCATCATTCACCCATCAACAACCATCATTCACCCATCAACAACCATTTATTCACCCATCAACCACACTCCCCTTCAACAACCATCATTCACCCATTAACAACCATCATTCACCCATCAACAACCATCATTCACCCATCAACAACCATCATTCACCCATCAACAACCATCATTCACCCATCAACAACCATCATTCACCCATCAACAACCACACTCCCCTTTCAACAACCATCATTCACCCATTAACAACCATCATTCACCCATTAACAACCATCATTCACCCATCAACAACCCTCATTCACCCATCAACAACCGTCATTCACCATCACAAACCCTAAAAATTCACCCATCAACAACCATCATTCATCCATCAACAACCACACCCCCTTCAACAACCATCATTCACCCATCAACAACCATCATTCACCCATCAACAACCACACCCCCCTTTCAACAACCATCATTCACCCATCAACAACCATCATTCACCCATCAACAACCATCATTCACCCATCAACAACCATCATTCACCCATCAACAACCATCATTCACCCATCAACAACCACACCCCCCTTTCAACACCATCATTCACCCATCAACAACCATCATTCACCCATCAACAACCCACACCCCCTTTCAACAACCATCATTCACCATCAACAACCATCATTCACCCCTCAACAACCCTCATTCACCCATCAACAACCCAAAGCCTAATAAACCCTCTTACCGTAAATACTTGTTAACGGTTCAGCAATCATCGCCCCCGCGGCTCGTTTCCCCACAGGGCATAACAAATTTTTAGTGTATTGTTCTTGCTCCCCCATTCCCATTCTTCCTCCCACCAAACACCCCTCCCCTTCCACCCCCGCCTTTGGTGGTGGTGGAGTGGGGGGATGTTGCACTCCCACTACTCCCGAGTAAAATGGTTGCCAACCTGTTAATTGCTTCCGCCGGGCTACGTCCGAAAGCCAATTACCGTCGCCGGGGAAAAAAAATGGAGTGAACCAGGCCCGCTTACCTCTCATTTCCCGGGATTAAAACTTGGTAAGAGCCATTTTCTGTGAAAACTATCCTCCACCCTCCTACCTCCTTACTATATTCCGACCTATACCCCAGTCCTTGTTTAAGCTAGTTTAGGGGGACCCTTGACCCGCAGAAGCTAGAAGGGTGACCCTTGACCTGCTGAAGCTAGTTTAGGGTGGACCCTTGACCTGCTGAAGCTAGTTTAGGGGGGACCCTTGACCTGTGAAGCTAGTTTAGGTGACCCTTTACCTGCTGAACTAGTTTAGGGAGGACCCTTTCCTTTCTGAAGCTAGTTTAGGGTGGACCTTGACCTGCTGAAGCTAGTTTAGGGTGGACCCTTGACCTGCTGAAGCTAGTTTAGGGTGGACCCTTGACCCGCTGAAACTAGTTTAGGGTGGACCCTTTTACCTGCTGAAGCTAGTTTAGGGTGGACCCCTTTACCTGCTGAAGCTAGTTTAGGGTGGGCCCTTGACCTGCTGAAGATAGTTTAGGGTGTGCCTTGACCCGCTGAATCAGTCTTAACCTCTAAAATTCCGGAATTTGGCCCTCAACTTTTCACAACACACACACCAAACCACATATTAAAAATTATTATATATATATTGTGGTTGGGTGTGTGTGTGTTATTTAAAACATTCAGAGTTCTGAGACGTCCCAGTAGTTTTAAAATCTCATTCTTTCCAGGGAGGCAGAAACTGTGTGAGTGTTTTCCACTGTGCTGCGTGTCCTGCCCTGCACGAAACCGTCAACACTGAACAATAGTTACTGGAAGACAAAGTCACTGAAAATACTACCAGTAATTTCTTCTTGTTTTAAAATGCCATGGTTATCCAGTCTAACTATTTACGACTTTCACAGCATCTGCCTTACTGTGTTCTATGACAGGAACAATGACTGAACCTGGGGTAAACAATGACTCACCCTGGTGGGAACAAATACTCACCGTGGTCGGTGCGAACTTTGCCGTTCCTGCGGGAGTGCCAGACCAGCTTGGGGTGAGGCGTGCCAGTGGCACTGCAGGTGAGTGTTGCAGACTGACCCAGCAAGACTGTTATGTTGCTTGGCATCTCCACCAGCTCCGGAGCTGCAACACAACAACACTGTTAGTACATCTGCTCAACACCTGTAACCGTGTTAGCGCACCTCAAAACACATGTGTAGCATAAATACACCTGTTCGTGAACACCTGTACGCGTGTTAGCACAATTCTACAGTATACATAATCTCAGTGAGCATATCCTGTGTGGCGGGAACATCTGGGTGGACCAGCTGTTACAGCCTTGCACCCTTCAAGAACCCTTCACGTCTGTGAAGGGCTCTTGATCAATGCTTCGAAGTTACTCTTCTCTTCCTCTGACCAAACCCGCATTCTCCTCACTCCTCCCAGGTGTTGTGTACCACATGTTGATTTAAACAATACTAATATGCAATATGATCGCAGTAAACAGGTGATATCACAATATGCAAAAATAACCACTGTGAAAAATAGTGAAATTCCAAACGCATTCGTGATTTTGTTACATTATCAAGGAACTGTGACAATAACAACAGCTGAAGGCTTATTATAAGGCCGAGACAGCACCTTACGGACATCTGACGCCTCACCCGTTCCTTTATGATGATGTGGGCGAGACGGTCAAGGAACTGTCAAACATAATTTAAACTCTCCCCAAATTTGATTCCTTGATAATGCGAGAAAATCATGAAAGCGCTTGGAAGTTCACCACTTTTTCACAGTGGTTGTTGTGCATGTACTAACATACAATTTGAAAAGTCAGATAGCTCAGAGACATGGGCAGTAACGTGGGGGCAGGACACATGGGGCAGTAACGTGAGGGCAGGACACATGGGGCAGTAACGTGAGGGCAGGACACATGGGGCAGTAACGTGAGGGCAGGACACATGGGGCAGTAACGTGGGGGCAGGACACATGGGGCAGTAACGTGAGGGCAGGACACATGGGGCAGTAACGTGAGGGCAGGACACATGGGGCAGTAACGTGAGGCAGCAGGAAGTATGGGGCAGTAACGTGGGGCAGGGCACATGGAACAGTAACGTGAGGCAGTAGGAAGTATGGGGCAGTAATGTGGGGCAGCAGGAAGCATGGGTCAGTAACGTGTGGCAGCAGGAAGTATGGGGCAGTAACGTGGGGCAGCAGCACACATTGGGCAGTAACGTGGGCCAGCAGGACACATGGGGCAGTAACGTGGGGCAGCAGAAAGCATGGGACAGTAATGTAGGGCAGCAAGACACATGGGGCAGCAGGAAGTATGAGGCAGTAACGTGGGGGCAGGACACACGGGGGCAGTAACGTGAGGGCAGGACACACGGGGCAGTAACGTGAGGGCAGGACACACGGGGCAGTAACGTGAGGGCAGGACACACGGGGCAGTTGCGTGAGGGCAGGACACACGGGGCAGTAACGTGGGGGCAGGACACACGGGGCAGTAACGTGGGGGCAGGACAAACGGGGCAGTAACGTGGGAGCAGGACACACGGGGCAGTAACGTGGGGGCAGGACAAACGGGGCAGTAACGTGGGGCAGGACACACGGGGCAGTGACGTGGGGGCAGGACACACGGGGGCAGTAACGTGAGGGCAGGACACACGGGGCAGTAACGTGGGGGAAGGACAAACGGGGCAGTAACGTGGGGGCAGGACACACGGGGCAGTAACGTGGGGCAGGACAAACGGGGCAGTAACGTGGGGGCAGGACAAACGGGGCAGTAACGTGGGGGCAGGACACATGGGGCAGTAACGTGGGGGCAGGACACACGGGGCAGTAACGTGGAGGCAGGACGCACGGGGCAGTAACATGGAGGCAGGACACACGGGGCAGTAACGTGGGGGCAGGACACACGGGGCAGTAACATGGAGGCAGGACACACGGGGCAGTAACGTGGGAGGCAGGACAAACGGGGCAGTAACGTGGGGGCAGGACACATGGGGCAGTAACGTGGGGGCAGGACACACGGGGCAGTAACGTGGGGGCAGGACACACGGGGCAGTAACATGGAGGCAGGACACACGGGGCAGTAACGTGGGGGCAGGACAAACGGTGCAGTAACATGGAGGCAGGACACACGGTGGCATTTAACGTGGGGGCAGGACACACGGGGCAGTAACATGGAGGCAGGACACATGGGGCAGTAACATGGAGGCAGGACACACGGGGCAGTAACATGGAGGCAGGACACACGGGGGCAGTAACATGGAGGCAGGACACACGGGGCAGTAACATGGAGGCAGGACACACGGGTAGTAACGTGGGGGCAGGACACACGGGGCAGTAACATGGAGGCAGGACACACGGGGCAGTACCATGGAGGCAGGACACACGGGCAGTAACGTGGGGGCAGGACACACGGGGCAGTAACATGGAGGCAGGACACACGGGGCAGTAACGTGGGGGCAGGACACATGGGGCAGTAACGTGGGGGCAGGACACACGGGGCAGTAACATGGAGGCAGGACACACGGGGCAGTAACATGGAGGCAGGACACACGGGGCAGTAACGTGGGGCAGGACACACGGGGCAGTAACATGGAGGCAGGACACACGGGGCAGTAACGTGGGGGGCAGGACACACGGGGCAGTAACATGGAGGCAGGACACACGGGGCAGTAACGTGGGAGGCAGGACACACGGGGCAGTAACATGGAGGCAGGACACACGGGGCAGTAACGTGGGGCAGGACACACGGGGCAGTAACATGGAGGCAGGACACACGGGCAGTAACATGGAGGCAGGACACACGGGGCAGTAACGGGGGGGCAGGACACACGGGGCAGTAACATGGAGGCAGGACACACGGGGCAGTAACGTGGGGGCAGGACACACGGGGCAGTAACATGGAGGCAGGACACACGGGGCAGTAACATGGAGGCAGGACACACGGGCAGTAACGTGGGGGCAGGACACACGGGGCAGTAACATGGAGGCAGGACACACGGGGCAGTACCATGGAGGCAGGACACACGGGGCAGTAACGTGGGGGCAGGACACACGGGGCAGTAACATGGAGGCAGGACACACGGGGCAGTAACGTGGGGGCAGGACACATGGGGCAGTAACGTGGGGGCAGGACACACGGGGCAGTAACATGGAGGCAGGACACACGGGGCAGTAACATGGAGGCAGGACACACGGGGCAGTTACGTGGGGGCAGGACACACGGGGCAGTAACATGGAGGCAGGACACACGGGGCAGTAACGTGGGGGGCAGGACACACGGGGCAGTAACATGGAGGCAGGACACACGGGGCAGTAACATGGAGGCAGGACACATGGGGCAGTAACGTGGGGGGCAGGACACACGGGGCAGTAACATGGAGGCAGGACACACGGGGCAGTAACGTGGGGGCAGGACACACTGGGCAGTAACATGGAGGCAGGACACAGGGGCAGTAACGTGGGAGGCAGGACACACGGGGCAGTAACATGGAGGCAGGACACACGGGGCAGTAACGTGGGGGCAGGACACACGGGGCAGTAACATGGAGGGCAGGACACACGGGGCAGTACCATGGAGGCAGGACACACGGGCAGTAACGTGGGGGCAGGACACACGGGGCAGTAACATGGAGGCAGGACACACGGGGCAGTAACGTGGGGCAGGACACATGGGGCAGTAACGTGGGGGCAGGACACACGGGCAGTAACATGGAGGCAGGACACACGGGGCAGTAACATGGAGGCAGGACACACGGGGCAGTTACGTGGGGGCAGGACACACGGGGCAGTAACATGGAGGCAGGACACACGGGGCAGTAACGTGGGGGGCAGGACACACGGGGCAGTAACATGGAGGCAGGACACACGGGGCAGTAACATGGAGGCAGGACACATGGGGCAGTAACGTGGGGGGCAGGACACACGGGGCAGTAACATGGAGGCAGGACACACGGGGCAGTAACGTGGGGGCAGGACACACTGGGCAGTAACATGGAGGCAGGACACAGGGGCAGTAACGTGGGAGGCAGGACACACGGGGCAGTAACATGGAGGCAGGACACAGGGGGCAGTAACGTGGGGCAGGACACACGGGGCAGTAACATGGAGGCAGGACACACGGGGCAGTAACATGGAGGCAGGACACACGGGGCAGTAACGTGGGGGCAGGACACACGGGGCAGTAACATGGAGGCAGGACACACGGGGCAGCAGGACACACGGATATATTTACTCTCTGAGATCAATGGAGTATTGTGGGTCTGGTTAATGAGCACAACGTCTCTATTATATCTGATTTAATGAAAAAGGATAAGAGGGAGAGCAAAGGGATGGCAGAAGGGAGGGAGGGATAACAGGGCCCGTACCGTGAGAGAGAGAGAGAGAGAGAGAGAGAGAGAGAGAGAGAGAGAGACCCCTCGCCTAATGAAAGTAATTATTTGGTGCGCACTATGACTGCTACTGCTCTGCTTTGCTCCCGTGATAACCTCTCATTAAGCCAGAGTAAGGGGGTATGTCACCCCCTCCCTCCCCTGCCACGAGGGAAGGACCCTCCCCTGCCACGAGGGAAGGACCCTCCCCTGCCACGAGGGAAGGACCCTCCCCTGCCACGAGGGAAGGACCCTCCCCTGCCACGAGGGAAGGACCCTCCCCTGCCACGAGGGAAGGACCCCCCCTGCCACGAGGGAAGGACCCCCCCTGCCACGAGGGAAGGACCCCCCCCTGCCACGAGGGAAGGACCCCCCCCTGCCACGGGGGAAGGACCCCCCCCTGCCACGAGGGAAGGACCCCTCCCTGCCACGAGGGAAGGCCCCCTCCCTGCCACGAGGGAAGGACCCCCCCCCTCCCTGCAGATTACAGAGTAAGTGTAAAACCCTCACTATTGTTACACTTCAATGAATAACATTTAAATGTGAATTTATATTAGATTAATGTTGAACTTTTACACGGTAATATTATCATGATCAGCGGTAATTAAAAGAGGCGGAAATATTACAGTAATATTGACCAGGTCCTCACTGCACTTGCATTCCAGGTCCTCACTGCACTTACATTCCAGGTCCTCACTGCACTTACATTCCAGGTGCTCACTGCACTTACATTCTAGGTCCTCACTGCACTTACATTCCAGG